GGTCTTATGTCAGTTTCTGATTGCAATACATAAAACACATATCGCAGAGAGTCTTCTTATCACTAAACCATTAATCTGTTGGTCTGCTTTTTGTTTTTTCCCCAGATTCCACTAATTTCCAAAGGCGAAGCAGCACATGTGGAGGTAATGCTGGCAAACGAACAGAGCAACAAAGATGGAGGGGAGAGTGTTACTCGTGAAGGATGGAGGGCAAAAGTGAGTGTGAGGGGAGGCGTACAGAGGAGGGGTAGGATGAATAAAGTTAGGGCCACTCAGAACGGACAAGCGGGTATCAACCCGTAAGGGATGGAGGGAGAAAGCAGGTGTCACTGAGTGGGGAGATGTGCAGAGGAGGAATCGGACCGATCTGTGGGAGGGGGAAGAATATGAAATTGAACCCGAAAGACTCGTGAACAATATAAAGAGAGACCAGGTGCACAAGAGGGGGGTGGGTGGGGGGGAGAGGAGAAATGTGGATGGAGATAGGGGGGAGAGAGAGAAGGGAATCTTAGGGGCGATAGATATGGGTGCAAGATGTGGGGGAGAGAGTTACTCGTGAAGGATGGATGGCAAAAGTGAGTGCTGGGGGGGAACGGACGAGGGGGTAGCAGAACGTGAGGGATGGAGGGTGCAAGCAGTTGAGTGGGGAGATGTACTTAAGAGGGATCAAAACAGGTCGGATGGGAAACGGAGAGGATTCTTGGAGAACGCGAGGGAGAGAAACTAGCCCAGTAATGGGGGGGGCGTCAATGGAGGTGTGCGTGTGTAAAGAGTCTAAAGACAGATACAGGGGACACTGTGATTATTGGGTCAATGAGATCTTCACTCTACAACGAGGTATTTAAAATGAGATATTTGTGGGTTATCTATCCCCCATTGTATATTTTATCGTAATCTGCTTTAGATCACTTGTTCGGTATACCGTTTCGAAGTGTGTTTGATTGACTATTTTTTTTTTGCCACTGGCTCCCGAGGGTTCTCAAGAAGGTAGCATAGGAGGAGGAAGTAGGGGGTTGGAAACTGGCGAGAAAACACCTTGAGTTCTCTATGTACTTCCGTGTCTGCCCGTTCTTCTAGATTGCCGATGTAGATGTCAGTTATTCATCCCATTCGCCCACTTGTGAGATCCTCCTGTCTTGGTATATCCACTTTGCTTCTCTCCTCCCTTCCACTCTGTTGAAACTGGAGAAGACTTTGTTCAATCCCTCGCCAAATCAACCCCTCCCTTCACCTAGTGTAGTCAATCACATTGCTTCACTTCCTTCTTATCTATCGAAGATGGAGTCGACCATTTCTCCGAGCTTTGCTGTTTGGGATGGCGAAATCCCGCACTTGAGATCACTACTCAATCACCTTACTTCACTCCCCCCTCCTTCCCCTTCATCCTTGCCAAAGATGGGGGAGACTTCTCCTCTCCCTTTACCTAGTGTAGTCGATCATGCGATCATAGTGTATTAGGACTATAAAAGAGGTCCCAATACCTTCGCATTTCTTTCACTCCCCTTTTCCTTTCTGCCAAAACTGTGAAAGACTTTGTTCACTCCCTTGTAAAATGTGCCTCTCCCTTCCCCTAATGTAGTCAACAGCATCGCTTCACTGTGACGCCCAACCTCACGCCCAGCGCGACTTCCTGATCAGAGTGGGATATGGGCCTGAAAGTGCGAAAAGGGGTGTGCCAAGGATTTTTGGGGAAGTGGGGGAGTCTTAAGGGTATGAATACGATTGGGCGAATAAGGGGCGCATGCGCGAGGGACTCAGGGTCCGATGGGGCCGGGGCACTGTGGGCGACGGTTTACGGGGAAATCCCTCCGCGGTGGAGGCCGTCACGAAAAGTTAGGCCGTCGCGGGCCACCACGTGGCGCGGGCCGCCGCGTACTTGGATTGGGCCTTCGGAATTCCGGAGTTCTCCGTTCGCCGCTACGTCGGCAATTCACACAAAACGTACTGGGCCAATAGGGGGCTATGGCCGGCCACGGAACGACGCTGAGTTGATGATATGGGAGAAGAAGGCGAAAAGCAGGGAAACTGGTGGTGATGACAACAAATCCCGGGTGGGTGAAGTAGTAGGTGTGGTCGGGGGAAGGGAAATCAGAGCACCGAGGGTCGCTAGAGGTGGCGCAGTGGAATTCCCGCGGACATAGTCAATTCTCTGTGTGACAGGGGTATCGCAGCCTTATGAGTTCGTTTATCCAAGGGGTGAAATAATTTGGCTCGTAGGATGAGTCTGAGTTCCAAGATCGATTCATGGTATCATCGTAGATGGGATAGCTCTGGTCGGGTTATCATCACCACGCACGAGCACGTGCAGGACAAGCGAACTTAGTTGCGCCTCATCGTGCTCGTACGGGATAACGGTTCCGCCATGAATCTCTTTGGGGTGGGTGAATTGACGCGCGGGAATGCGTGTAAGGGCGCGACTCGGATCGCGTTTACACGTGTTCTCGCACGGCGTTCGCGGGGCCAGACTTCAGATCGTCTAATTGCTTCGTAAGTTTCGATTATGCAAGATGCAACCATATCACAACCTCATTGTGAGACAAGCAAGAACGAGAACGAAATCACTATCGGGGCCAGATTCTTATCCCATCTACAGCTGCATCAGGTTCGAGCAAAGATTCAACACAAACAAAAAGCAAGGACAGGGATTCTCAGCAAAAAGATAGACAAGCAGGCATAACATCCATACATCCATACATTTGGCAATCATACACATAATGCAATCGGGAAGGACATCGCAAGGGCAAGTGTGAGCAAAAAAAAAAACAAGCCCAGATTCCAGAAAGGTTTCCGAATAGACCAGGATGTCGTCCATGTACAGAATCACGCAGAAGTTAATCATCCCTTGCGTCAGCCGTATCTTGTTGACGAAGTTCTGGAACGTCATGTTCATCGCTCGCTGAAACGTGGCAGGCGCATTGCAAATACCCATTGGACACCGAACCCAATGCCACGTGCCCTCAAACAACACAAAGGCCTTCTTCGGCCGATCTTCCTCTTTAACCAGAATATGATGGAAACCATGCCGAATATCAAACTTGCTGAAAGAATTAGCGCATCCAATCGCATCCAACAAATCATCAATCCGAGGGAGGGGATACACATCTTTGATCGTGATTTCATTCAGTTTGCGATAATCAATACAAATGTGAATCACTCCGTTTTTCTTCGGTACTGACACTACGGGAAAGCACCAAGGTCCGGTGGCGGGTTCAATCCAACCGCTGGCTTCGAATTCCCGAATTCGTTCGAGAGCCTTTTTGCGTTCAATCAAGGAATACCGGTTAGGTTTGCAATGAACCGGGGAGTGATTTCTTGTGTGAATTTCATGTTGGATTACTAACGACAAACCAATGTCAGTATCTGTCACGCTAATCGCTCCTTTATATTCCGTTAGAATGTCCGCAATCACCCGGTGGATTTCATCCTGTACGTACTGTGGAACGTGTAGTTCAAAAAGTTGATCCCCGATCCGAACGTCAAGCTGTTTCGTGCGTGTCTGTTTTGCCACGTTGGGCGGAGGCGCCGAGATGAATGAATGGTCCGATCGCCAGGAGAACACTGTGACCATCATCTAGGCGTCTTCTTCCCGGATTGCCACGTGTCCTTCCGAAGTAATCCTGTCACAAACATCCTGCCATGGCACGTTCTTAGTTGCGATCTTTATCCCCAGTCCGTCTGTTTCTGCCTCGAAACGCCCAGGGGGTTCCAAAGAGCTTGCTTCCGCCCCCAAACGTAACAATCTCACTTCTTTAGCAGATGTCAATAAAGCCTTAGGTAATTCTGTAATGTCGCAATAATGCTTTTTGTCACTATACCTGGCGAGGAGAGGGGTGATTCCTTCGTACAGAGTTTGAGGGGGTTCCAAAGAGTCGACCATCCTTGAAATCTGCACGAGGGGCTCACCCAAGATCATTGCCTTGGTCCTTTGAATTTTTCGGCTGGTCAGTTGAATCGTTCTCGCTATCGTTTTGGGCGGCGGGTAGCAAACGCGTTGTCGTACCAATTTCAAGATCTCCGGATCATCTTCGTCACTGCTTTCCGCATCATCTGTTGATGACTTTCCCGCTGCGGATTCATCCCAAGAGATCATGCGGAGAGTCCCTGCCATCATCGACGAAACCCGCGGAACCGCGTTAATAGTAGTGCGAAGGGTCAATCGCATGGGCACAGCGTAGGGTTTTCCTCCTGTATTTCGGAGGATGATCGATCGTCGCTCGAAATCCAGGTTCGCTTGTAACGCCACAAGAGCGGGAAGTCCGAAAAGAACGTCGTACGTATTAACATCTAGTACTACGACATCCCCAAGCGCGTGTACTTTTCCTAATCGGAAGGCAACATTGGTCATTCTCCCTACAGTTTTGATTTTTTCCTCATTTGTCAAAACGAGCTGATCTTTCTCAGTGAGCATGATCAGATTGTTTTTCCTACCTGCCCTTTCGACCACTCTCAGTGAAATCGCCAACACAGCTGCTCCCGAATCTATAATTGCGTTGTACGGAATTTCCCAAATTTCAATATCACATTTTGCGGATTTCCACGAAATCGGTTTAATCCGTAAGAAATAATCGTCCTTCTTAATTAAACCCACCCATATCGGATCCGGAGTGCTTGTTGGGTTTTCTTCTGGCGCGGGGCCTTTGGCTTTTGCATTTGGTGTTCGGGCGAGGGCGAATCGCTTTCGGTTTGCTTTGCAATGCTGTAGCATTCGCTCGTTGGCTTGCTCAGAGATCGAGAGCAGATGACCGATCGGAAGGGGAATCCGATGGTCCAAAGCTCGGATGATGTTTAATACATCG